GGCCGGCTGGGAGAGTGGATGTATCAAAAATTGATCAGATTCATGACCTGCCTTGAAAAACACTGGCTGCGTTTGAAATGAGTAGAGCCTGTTACATCTGAATGGGTAGAGCCGTACTCTTCTGCGGAGATGATTCCTGAGAATTCACAGTCTGGTTCCACGTGTGGCCATAGCCCAAAACTCGAGATACCCTTTCCTGCAGGTGACACTCATGATCTGAGGTGAGCAGGCCCTGCTGATTCTTAACGCGTGTGATTTTGGGCTCCTGGGTCCCAGCCTCGCAGTGAGCTCTGTGGGTGCAGGAGTCGCTGTGGAACCTGTGATCATGATCAGTGTGTTACTAGCACAAGAACATTTGCTCAGTTGGCACGTGTTTCAGTTTTTGTAATACGATTACAATTTTTAAAAGCTGCTTCCAAGATGCACATTAGAGCTCCTAAGTTATAATGGAGGTCTTTATCTTCTGTGTGTCTTTGTCACACGTTGGTTTAGTTAAGAGTAAGAAAATTGAGTAATAGGTATGTGGTGTAAAACACGAGCTCTCTCTGGAATACTGTGTGCAATAATGTGTCTAGTTTCGAACAGCACACTGGATCATTACTAAAAGATCTACCTAACTAACTGCCCATTAATGCGAATGAACAGAGGATCTGCTGGAATACCCTCTGTTGTCCATTCTGCTCAGATGGTGACCCATTATACCAATAATTGGTGATAGCAACTCATTTGCTTGGGCTCCTTCAGTTAATTTTCAAGGTGGTAGAATTTGGTGAAGAATAATTTGTCTGCTACATTAGTGTCAGTCAGGCCTAATGTGCAAGTAGATGTCTGTCATAACCGCATAGAATTATTCCCAGTTCATGGTAAGACCCCTCTGTAAGCAAGTTTAAGAGTCTTCTTAAACAGATCTGCTCCAGTGGAAAAGAGGCCCAGGAGACCATTAATTAAGCCTCTGTTAGGCTGATGTACCAAAATTATATTTTATCATAGAGAAACTTTACATAATTTCTGCAAATTGGCTAAAAAAAATTGAACACTTCAGCTTCAATATGAAATTATACTAAAGAACTACATATCTTGGCTACAACGGAGTGTCATGATGAAGATATAGTAGACTTTCCCTCTATGCAATGAATATACATAATTGGATTACAACAGTATTTTCAGTTACAAAAATATTGTATTTTAAGATGGAGGAGATCTTTTCATTTCAACTGCTTCTTATCAGAGATTCATATTTTTCTCACAAAATTACTGAAGTTGAAGGCTTGTGTTTTCGTCTTAGCACAAAGAGAGTAAGGGAGAATTAGTTATCTGGTGTTTTGGTAAACTAGTAATCATAGTATGAGTATCATAACAAATAGTAAAGTTATTTAGCCAGAACTATATCTATATATACTGACATTTAAGCATGCACATATATTTCTTTTAATTACTGTGCAGTCCCAGTGATGCTTGATTAAGTATAAAGAAACCTATTTATTCCCATTAGTCTGAGGGCAATCTTTAGTGTAATCGTGCAATACAGCATTATCTATCTGCAGAATTAAAGGTAATATTTGAATCACGATTGATTGTTTTATCATCCAGACCATTGTACAACTCTGGTTCAGCTAGGAGTTTCAGCTTTCAAGTGCTGAAGAGCTGCTCTGGAGAACACGTGAACTGAGGGTTCCTTCCTGTTTAAAAATATTAAAAGAACAGGATGTTCATGACTTTCTATCTTTTTAATCTGACTGAGGCTGCAACTTCCAGGTTTAGGACCCCTGGTGAAAAGTAATTTTAATTCTTGTTTAGGTCTGCTTGCCTGTTGGACAGGTTTCATCTTGTTAATTTGTAGCAATAGTAAGACGAAACTGTTAAAAGCAATTTTCAGTGCTCCCACTAAAGGCACTTTGTATAAAAACATGACTTAGAATGTGTATCTTGGGGATAAATTATAGAAGAGTATCTAGTAATTGTCATGATAAAGACCATCATTGGAAGCACAGTGCCTCTGTAAAGTTTTGAATATTTCTGTAAGAAGAATATAATGCATGTATCATGGATTACTTGCAAAAGCAATATATGTTAGCTGAAAATACTGTGTTAAAGCTATTGCAAGTTAGTACAGGAATTATAAAATGAATTATTTAAATAGGTGGCTTCTCATGCTATAGAGCCTGCTATTTAAACATAATATTTGATATACATTTATTTCTGCAATCAAATGGGTTGGGATTACTAACTGATAGGAAGTTGACAAGTTGGATCAGTATGGTTTGGTAAGACTCGTATAGCCAGTGAATTTGCAGTGGGCTGATGCATTCTATAGTTTCTGAGCAATGCAATGAAGATATCCGTAAAGGGAAACATTACAGAACCAGTTAGACCCAAGAGACATTTGCAGAGTGCAAACACAGGCATGGAGACTCTAAAGGACTCCAGCGTTAGCAGGCAACATCAATTTTTTTTCGTTTTTGTATTGCACTGACAAACCCATCTGTTTTATTTTCCTATTAGGAAAATTAGGACAAGGAAGTGACTGTCTTGTCACTCATGATGACAACAAAGCATAATTAGGTTTAGTACAGCATTACCATAACTTACTGACCAATATATATTATGACACATTCTTTAATTTTTATGAACTTAAATGGTGGAGCTGTATGATCTGTAATTTCTAAGTTGTTTTCAGGATCCTGGGTACTTGGCAGTTTTTTAACAGTTAAAGAACTTGTAGGTGCTTATGGGGAAACAAATCATAGAATCCTAAACTTACACTCTTTTAAATTGTTTTCTCTTCTTGTGTGAATTACTTCTGGGAATGGCTGCTTCTGTTTAAGTCTTTCTCAAGTAGTGCCTGTCCTATGAAATCAGCAACTTGGCAGTTTTAAAGCTGTTTCTGCAGTCTGAAAAAGAGCAGCAAGACTGAGTAGGGCCTTGCACACTGCATGCTGCTGCAGGAGCCACCGGGGATCTGGAGCTGCTTGCCTGTGGTCTGAGCAGATGAGATTCAGTGCGCTTTCCAGTGCGACGTCTCCCAGGGTGTTGCACTTTTTTCAGCCTACATCCAAGTTTTAACAGAATCTGGAGAGAGCCTGGGTATGGGACACCAGTGCAGTGGGACTTCATTTTGCGTAATAACTGTTTTGGAAAAGTCAGAGGAGTGTCTGAAGCTTGAACTGACATGTTCCTTTTTAAAAGGACCCCTCTGAAGCTTCATTTGCCACACTCCTTTTTAAAGGGTACCTGGACAATTACCTCTTCAGAAACTTGTGATGACTCCACCCTGTCCAGTGTTTTGTTGTAATGGTGGGTTCCAATAATGTTTTCTTATGTGCTGCTTTGAAGTTAAAGGACTAATTCAGTCATTATCTGGAAGCTTTCAGTGTAATACTTATCGTTTCTCTAGTGTTAATTGAGCATCACTTTTACTTTTTGTAGTCAATATTTGTCTATGTTCTTATTAGTGTGAATTAAATACCCGCTAGATTATATAGGGTCAAGAACTATGAAATAAAGGAACAGATCTTAATGATGATTAAAGTAAAACTATTCACAAAAGGATTTAAAGAGCTTTGCCTTTATTCTGGGGTGGGCAAGTCCCTATGTGTCCTGCCTCATTGGTAACTAAAATCTATAGATGAGATTATATCCCTGAAGTCTGAATGTTACTAAATTGTGCTGCTCCTCTGTCTACAGATTGTGCGAGCAGATGCAGTGACCAGGTTACTGTTTGAGAGTCATCTTTAGTACCTGTAGCATCTTTGCATGTCTCCATTCTGGAAGTTCTGCTCATAAGCTGTCTTCTCAGGTTGAATTGGGTACCCCCTGCCTCATGTATTTCTTTATTCCTTTAAGACTGTGAAATTGTGCTTTCTGTTGAAGTGAAGCTCCAGTCTTGCAGATGGATATGCTAACTCTGAGCTTGCCATCTTAAGGCCCTCAGAGCAGCAAGTGCACTACGCAGCGTTGTGGGGCGTAAGGACACGTGGCTGCACTGTGCAGCTGTTGGTTTTGTGGTTCCTCTTGCCTGTTAGCGTCAGCTGCAATTTCACTGTCATAAAAAGGGTGAATCCCTCCATTGCTTTTGTACAGACCGCTGTGGGGTAAGAGGAATCTAGTGGTCGTGTCAGGTGCCAGCATGAATGTGGTGGGGGAAGTGCAGGCCAGCGGCAGGTGAAACTGGCCTGGCCCTTTGAGCCGCGGCCGTGCCCGTACCAAGGTGGAGCAGTTGCGAGCAGCGGTCTTGTGACACTCCTCAGTGACCTGGGCTGGGATCCAGCCAAAACCAAACTTTGTTGTTGACCCTTTTCCTCCTTTTTTCCCCTGGAATGTTTTTCAGACAGTGTGGTACCCTGATGTGGTTGCTTGTGCAGCATCACACGGCTGCCAGCAGCTGATGTCACGATTGGAAGGATAAGGCAGTGGAACTGAGTAGCTGGGGACAGGGAGGGATGACAGACTAGTTTACTCAGGACTGTGGCTGAACGTTGAACCACAGCCTGAAGGTACGTCTGTGAGGCTGGTGCCACAGCTCATGAGGATTTTGAGCTAGTTAAGTCACGTATTGCTAGCAGCATCGTTGTTGCACCATACACTACATTAAACCTTGCAAAACCTGCTTGAGATGATTGGCAAGTTGGATCATGAGAACTCTGTGCTTGTGTTGGTGTGCCACTGTCTCGGTGCCTGAGCTAGTTTGGTTACAGTATAGCCACATGACTATGTTTACCTGAATGGAGTAAGCTAACTTAAAAAGTTACGAGTTCTTAGCTCTGTCTCGAGATGAAGTGACATGACATGGGTACCGACTTGCTACCAGAGAAAGATGAGACCTTACTCCAATTTGTTCGTGGCTCGCACCGGTTCACTTGGTTCAGAGCCAGTTAAACTCACTCAGTGGAAAATGTCCCACTGCCTTTGGAATTTCTGCTGGGTTGAAATGACTCCCAAAGGGGACCGACAAACAGAACAACAGCGCAAGGGTGTTAGGGACTCGTGGCTGGAAGTGAAGGTAGAAGGGTGCAGGCTCTGCCTGCCTGGCTGTCGGAATGGAACGCGCTGCCGCGCTTGCTGTGCCACGGTTATGTGTTTGCCTCCCTTGCTGCGAGGGAGCTCTAAGTCAGTTGTGTACATGCCCACAGCAGTGGTGACAACACAAAATAGTCTTGAGAGGGCAGAATTTCCCAGCTGGCAAAGAAAAGATGAGGTGTTTTCGGTCTGCTGTATGATTCTTAGATGTTTCAAGTAGAATTTTTAAGCTCTCCCAAATAATTTTGGTCTGAACTTAGTTTTTATTTATTGATAAATAATAAAGTACTACTTTTTCTGCAAAACTGAGAGGCTCACTTCTGTGTACACAATTAATATAAAAATAGTAGATCTTCACTTGTTTTCTTCTAGGAAAAGGTAAAAATCGTTGTTATATTTTTAAATAAGATTTTTTCCTTTAAAAAGAAATATTTGCCATGATTCCAATTTCTTTTAGTCTCTTTTCCCTCAGTATTCTTCCCAAACACATTTCTTAAAAAGGCAAAAGTTTCCAGCCAAAGGGGGATTTATGTTAATAATTTGTTGAAATGTAGTGTTTTTTTGAGTAATATGATTTAATAAATGAATATGAGAGCTCGGAAATGCTTTCTTCTTTTTCCATTAGATCATACAGTTTTGCCAACAGACTGAAGAACTTTTAATAGTTTTATTTCATTTTTTGATTGAAAATGGGGCTCTAGGAAAAACAATTGTGCAAATGTTAATTCTGTCTTTCTCCATCAGTGATTGCTGTTTTAGGCAAGTACTATGTAGTTTCCTAGAGGAAAAAATGAAAATTCATTTTAAATGTTTATTTTGCATGTGGCTTGTTACATCCTTGTTACCAAGAGATGATTAAATATTTGACCACCTAGTAGCGTTCTTCTGTAATGTAAAGTCATATTGCGAGCTGGTTATTTCATTGGTAAACTTTTAGGGTTTGGGGGTGTGACAGAGAAATCTCATGCATGAGTTGCGTGGCAGAGTGGGTTTTGATACTGCAAACATTTACAGATGGAGGCAGCTCATGTGCATGTATCAACTGCAGTAAATACTCAAATGTAGGAGGTTAAGCAGTGAAAACTGTGCAGACTTGGAGTCATCTGAATTAGGTCAGTAGTGGAAATTATCTTGGATTTATTGTGAGCCTTGCAAACGTGGATCTGCATTTCAGAAGACCAGCACCAGCTTCCATTGTAGTTCTGGAAGGTTCTGAACAACAGAACCAAGGTCAAGGCTGAGATATTTACGCAGTCCCAAATGGTAGGGACAGTATCCTGAAGGCAGATCATTGGTTTTAGACTTTATTAGACCCTTACTTTAATTACCACCTCATTACTTGCTCTGCTTCCACAAAAAATATTCCATACTGTCATTTTCCCTAAGTAACTGGAAATGTGATTGAAAGGGATGTTTAAAGTGAGACTAATTCAAGATTAAATAGTCACAAATTATATTATTGCTACATGTAAACAAATTACTTGCATATCTGATTTTATTCAGATTACTTTTCAAGTGGTAAATAATGCTTTATCACTTATATAGTGCTCTTACATCTTTAGAGTGCTTTTCTCACATTAATTAATCATCATTAAACACTCTGAGGTGGGTAGGTTAATACTATTATCCCCATTTTGCAGATGAAGAAATGTAGACTGAGAGGTTGTGATTTGCTCAAGGCCATATAGAAGAAATAGAATCAGAGCTGGGATTAGATCTGCATCCCTAGCTTCTAATTTCAGACCAGTGAGATTGTGAGCCACAGTTTTGAAGCAAAATACTCAAGTATGCATTAGAAACAGCCCACACTTAGGTGGTCTCTTAGATGCCCAACTTGCAATTTGTTTAAATCGAAACTTTGCTTTTGTGCCATACTGCATACTTTCACGTTCGTGCCCACAAGTGCGAAAATAGCCTCTCGTTCATTTAAGTACTCCATCTCATGGAGTATTTTTATTTTCATAATTTTTTCGTTGAAATTAATTTTCATCTTTAAAATACCAGTTTCTGGTTCTTTAGACTTGAACATAAGTGTGTGACTTGGATGCAGCAAGTTTAGCATTGGTACCCAAAACTCTCTACAGATGATACTGGTACGAGCTCTGTTGCTTATAATTTTTCATGAGCTGAGACGTAAATAAAATTCTGACTTGGCAGCTTGTGTTACTGCTGCTCAGAACAGGTGAGAGAGAATTACCCTCAGTGTGCTAAACCCATAACCTTTGTAGGCAGTGCCTAGCTGCTTAGTAGAGACATTCACGTGAGTGCAGTCTGCCTTGGAGAACTACCTAAATAAAACAGAGTGGTCTTGAGACCAGAACTATTTGTGCACCACCTTGAAAATCAGAAGCACCACAGAGAATTATATTCAGCTGTTAGTAATGGGAGCATGTGCAGAAGCAACAGGTAAGGAAAAAGCAGGTGGAAGAAAGAAAGAAAGGAAGAGAAAGAAGGAAAAGAAAGAAAGAAAGAAAGAAGGAAAAGAAAGAAAGAGAAAGAAAGAAAGAAAAGAAAGATGTGCCCTTGTACGTGATGGTGAGGACCTGCTGGGGAAAGCTGGGGTCATGTGGAACAGTTTAGAGTCCCGTGGGCACAGGTCAGAATCGGCTTCGTGCCACAGCATCCTTCTCACCTGTCCTCACATCTCAAAGGAATGTTGCAAGTGATTGTACTGTCTGGCTGCCAAGTTAGGAGATGGGGCTTCAGTTTCTACTGTTCCTGACCAGAGTTAGTGGTTGAGTTACTCAGCCTGCAAAGTCAGTGCGGTACCTTTCCACGGCGCTGTATGCTTTAAATCATGGAAAAGTTTTGGGGTTCTTCAGATGGAAGATTGCAGAGAAGCTGAAATACAAATAAATGGATTGGAAAGAGAGAAATGGTTGCAGACAGAAGGAATTTTCTGCCTTCAGGCTGCTGTGATGCCTTTGGCTGCATGGTAAGAGTGGTTCGCGGGTGGTGTGGAGTCACCAACATGCAAGCTGGTCAGAGGGGCATAGGGACACCTGGGGGATGTGGTTCTAAGGCTGGTCCTTCTGCTCTGCTGTGACGCTGCTTGTGAAACCTAGAAACGGGAGATAGCCTAAAAGCAGCAACATACACCCACCTTTAAATAGCTCAACCTGGCAGTCATGAGAGCAAAACCAAGGCGTAATCTCCTCCTCCAACCATCTGGTTTTTAATGCAGAAAGAATTGCGCTTTTAGTTACAGGTGCAGAGGTGTGACGTCCCGGGGCTGTCCCGGGGGGCCGCTTGTGGAGCTCCCAGGTATGGGTCTCTCCCATCAGGGGCTTGAGAAACACTAAATTTTGACAGATTGCTCTTGAAGGAAAGGAATGAAACAAGGTATTTGCCTGTTTGCTTCCTTTTAAGACTGTGGAATGTGTTTTCTGACAGTAGATCCTGTTCTTTAATAACCAGCCCCACAATTACGTAATGTTAAGTTTGCTGCAAGAGTAGTTTAATAAATATTTTAGTATGCAGATAAGCCATTGATAACTGCGTGCATTCACAAACTCATACATTTTTATGCCTAAAACAGAGGACAGTTTAGAGTTTATTAATACTACTTCGACTACGATGCCTTAAAAGTACTGCACAGTTGGGGGCATTAAATGTCCAGACAAATTGAACTCAAATGAACAAACAAACAGGTCATTTATTTTATTTAACCTGAAAGGAATTTTCATTCTTTAATTGTAACTCTAGATATAAATTATGTGTGGATGATAGACTAATGATTTTCCTGTGTTTGATTAAAGGCAAAGAATCAAAGATTTGTTTATATATTTATCTGTTTGTTTCTTTGCTATGATAAGACCAGTTGTTATCCAAACAGTGTGACTGACCTAATAAAGGACATATGCATAATTGATCTCCATCTATTTTTCAATATTTATTCTCTATTTTTTTAATAGAGTTCAGTTCCAGAAGTGCAGCCTGAAATATTTTTAAGGTGGTATGTTTTAGCACTTCTGCAAAAGGTCTCATTTTATGGTGGCCACTGAAACGAAAAGGTTTGTTGTTGGTTCCACCCTTTAGTATCCCTTCAAGAGAGATTATATCAAAGAAGAAGAATTAAATTAAAATTGATTGGTGTTATTGATTTTTCTTTTTTTTTTTTTTTTTAAAGGGGATAAAGGGCGATGGAAACAGTCTATGCCCCTACGCTGTTTTACTGCTGGGCTATTTTTTAAAAACATAAAAAGCATATGTGCTCAATTTACATACTTACTAATTAAAAAAGCTTCCTGGAAACATTAAGTAGACTATCTTCTGTAACCTTTAACATTGTAGCTAATGGATATAGCCTGGAAATTTTCATAGAAAGTCCTCTAAATAATGTAAATGATTATGAATATGTAACTAGTTAATATGCAGCTACGAAAGGATTATCATGTAGAGGTTAATGAACATGCTGCTCTTATGGTGTGCAGGGCTTTTCTTTTTGTGCTTTTAGCTCACTTCATGCATGGGAAGTCATGTACTGGGAATGGAAAGCTTCCTGTCCTTTCCATCTTCATCTATAATGGGGCAATTAAACTGGAACTTTCTTACAGGATTTTGTAAACATTTTTGTATGCTTAATAATTTTGATTTTCACAATCACTACCAAATCTAAAAGAATCACGTTGATAGAACAGGCTCTGACTCTTCTACTTGACAGTGGTGGGCTCCGTTGTGTGTTAGCGTTGTTATCAAACGTTGCTGTGCTGTACAATTTATACCTGTTACGGAAACTTTACTCCTAAAATGAGCTTAATATTAATAGTGTATCTTAGATTTCTGAGTTGATATCCTGCAGAAGTCTGTATATTTACTCTTAACCTTAAAAGTAGTTAGGTTGCACATTGAGGAAAATTCGTGCTAGTCTTTTGATTTATAGGAGTTTAAAGCAAATCATAGATTTAAACTTGTTTTACAAAGGATGAGCTACCTGGCTGAATTTCCTGATGGATTATGAAATAGCATAACCACAAATGTAGAGCTAGTCCTTTTCATTTAAGTACTTTACTCTGTTTAAAGAATTATTACCTCACAAAATAGTCCCATTTTTTTACTCCTATGTGAATAGAAGGTCTGAGATCTGTTCTGCAATAGCTGCACATATGCTAACTAAAAAAAAATTATCTTTCATTCTGTTGTTTGGGAAAATAAAAAGAATTATCTGCTCCAGTGATTTCAGTGGTACTTGAATGTATGTTATTGTTTTCTCTGCAAATTTTCTCATTAATTGCTTTCAAATGTTAGCATTATTTTGGCTATAGGAAAAATGAAATTTGTAAAAAAAAAAATCAAGAAAATGCTTACATTGAGAAAATGTCTAGACATATATAATTGCCTCATGGCTTCATTGCATTTCATATAATTGAATGAAATTGTTTGTGTTATATTTTTGGTAACCATTATTCAGAGATCATAATATGTTTTGAAAGACAAAATCTCCTCGTAATTGTGTCAGAGAAGGTCACAGGTTTCAGCATCTCATCTGTTTGCTATATCTACATAGTCTAAAAAATACAGTTAAAAAAGAAAAGAACGATTTCATTTTAACAATGTCTTTTATTTTGCAAATTATTTTGAATCTCTTGGGAGAGCCTGTGGCGTAAAGAAATAAGTTAAATACTTAGATTAAAACTTCTTTTTTGTTGCTTTTTTTCTTTGACATCCCAACAGAACAGAGGGGAAGCCAGCAGCCCATAATGCTGTCAAATATCCTTGTATTTAAACACCACAAAATTAATTTGTGCTTTTTCAAATTAAAATGTCTGGTGGAAATATTTGTTGATGTAGCTATAAAGTAAAAAATCTTTTTGGTGCTGTAGAGTTAATTTGGTTTTGTTTTTTAATGACCCAGTATGGAAGTTGCATTAATTTCTTGTTACAATTTAACTTGTTTTCTTACTCTGCAAACATGTAACATTGAAAATAGATCTGAGATTGCACAAAGTACTGCTTGTCTTATATCGTGTGTCACCTGGTAGTTCTGGAGCAGGTATTGTACCAAAATATGAATTGAAAAGCTGTAATTTTTTCTGTGGTTATCAGTCCACATTAGTGGATGATAAAGTGTGCTGCTTAAGAACTACCATCCACATGCCTTTGCACTGACAAATAAAAATGTACGTAGAGACACCACCAAATCTGTAAAGCTGCTGTTCTAGTTTCTGATGCATTGACGTTGCCGCTGTGTGCTCAGCCTTGTTTTTTCATGAGTAGTTATCTGTTTTAATGACAGGTGGTCACTGGCTGCCAAGAAAAAATCCAGCACTGGTAAGTGAAAAATGTTTGATTACATGCTTAAAATACTGATGAGTAACCTAGTTATATTTTAGTAAAGTGTTGCTGTTTATTCTAATGATAGCCATGTTTTGGGGATTATAGTTAGCAATAGCTCTGAACTGTTGCAGTGTACGCTCAGTATTTTCCACTGATATCGTTATTTATATCACAAATACACTGAGCCTTAGTGTTTTTACTTCTGTTTTAAATACCCAGCTCATTCATCATTTTTCCCCAAGTAACCTTATGGGATGAATGCTGAATTTGCCTGATGGGTGCAAAGGTACTCCCAAGGTAGAATTAATTAATTAATTCTTGTTTTCTTTCTAACTATGGAGCAAGTAGGGAAATCCTGCTTCCACCCCTCCATGTGCTACAACAATGTGAAAGTAAGGTTTCCTTGTTTTTTTCCCCCCAGTGAAGGGTGTGATAAAGCTTAGTTTGAAATACTTAGAAAGAAATGGTTTGTTATGTAAAAAAAATTATCTCTGGGCACTTTTTTCTCTGTTGGCAATCTATGGTTAATAGAAAACATGCTTAGTAAATAATAGTTTTGTATGGCATCTGAGGAAAATGTACATTTAATGGTGAATGAAATCTTAGGAGTTACTGTGAGATAGAACAGTTGATCTTACAGATATCAAATTACAATATAGCCATGCTGTGTTTACCATGATTTTACTGAGAGAACAACAGGAGCTGTCTTGATTATTGTCTGCAGGGTTATTGCAGAATCACAGCAACTGCCCCTTTAGTGAGGAGATTAAACCTTTGGTTATACACCATCAAGCATATAATATTTTAAATTTATTTTAAGAGGCTTTTTCTTCATGCCTGAAAGATCTCCAAGCAAATAATTTATATTTAGTGTGTATCAAATGTTTTTAGTTTAAATGCACATAGGCTGCAAGCGCTGGATAAGAGGAAAAAAATCAAGGCAATCTATACACATCATCGTATTAAATTCTGACTATTGGCTCACAAAAATAGTCTAAAACTAATATGTTTCATTTATGTTTAAAATTCAGAGGCTGCGTTAATTTTCAATAAAGGAAATAATATTGAAGTGCCTACTGGTGCTGCTGTGGTGAAGTCAGGCAGAATATTCCCAGCACACATACTTTCTCAGGAGCTTCGCAGGGTCTGTACCGACTTGGTCCCACATGAAATTCTGCATTTACATCCTTTGACCGAGATACAGTATTTTTCAAAAATAAACTAATGGACAGAAACACTCAAAATTCGAGCAGATTTTTAAATTTGGGAAAGTTATGGCAATTTTTCCCTTTATAGAAATGGCTGAGGTTTGTGGAGTGGGGTGGGAGGGTTGACTGTGGAAGGAGGAGTTGCTCATGTGACTGCTTTTATGCAAACTGGCCATGGCCCCATGAACTTGGGAGTTTTGAGTACAGAATATTAAAAAGAAAACTTAACTTACTGATATCTTGTGTGTAGAAAAGCACTTTGTACAGCCTCCATGCAATTTTTGCTTTATAAAAAGTATTTAAAATTTAGCAAACTTGTTGTACAAGAGCTGAATGCTTTTGTTTTGACTGAGTAATTTGTTCATACAAGACCTTTTAAGTAGTCAATGACACAGAAGACTGTTAAATAGAATTGCGTGAGTAACAAGAGGGTTTTTAAATGCTCAGCTTCAATATATTTCCATTAAATTATTTTCTTTTTCATTTTTAGTACACTTGTTGAACTAAAGCCATAAATTCAGTAATGGGTGTGATATGGAATTTAACATCTAGACACACGTGGAAACGCACGTCTAGATGTTTCCCAACATTCATCCTCCCTTTTCCCCTTGGTTCTTCGTTGCTTATTGGGACTGAACATAGTGCCGGTACACACCAGAGCTTGTGTGACCATCAGCTGTAGGTGAACAAGGAGGTCAGCATCCTTCTTTAAGTAATGATGTTTCAGGCCAATTAATTAAAAGGATTGATTTTCATTTTCTTTGTCTCGATGGTCCAGTTCAGGATGTGGCTGCACTTTTAGAGACTCCCGTGGTGGAGGTTTGATCAGTGAAGGGCAGCAGTGCCACTAAAAAAAGAAACATACTTTGTTCTGTAAATCAAAATAGCTTTGTAGAAACTGATTTCTCCTGTCCTTGAATCAGATAATTCAGTAACAGACAGCAGTCAGACCTGAAAGGCAATATCTTCTTTTCAGATTAAGGAATAAGTGTTGAGTGACTTTCAGCCATGAAACGATGGGAGTGTTTAATCCTACTGCGCGTGGGGGTATTTTCATACCATGCTCTTCCCACAGAGTCTTCTCTGTGTTTGAGACAAGGGCAAGGCCTTTGGCTTGGGGTATCCTGTTTGGATCTTTTAGTGGGTGATTGGAGCGCATCAGTGTCCATTTCTCAAATGCAGATCTTTGTGAGGCAAAGGCCAGATTCTGTGAACATCATTAAGTAATTGGATGTTATCGTTGGCACCAAGTTGTCATTAGATTGCTGCCCCCTCCCCCCCAAAAAAAAAAAAGATCTCAGTGACTTTTGTTAAGATTCATGACTTTGTCCTTCTTTGAGAGAAGTGAATTACATTTTCACTTTGATGTGGGCAGTGGACAGAGAAACTTGCCTAAAATGCCTGAGACAGATCTACTGGCAAACCAAAGCAGCAGCAAGCATCTTTTGTAAAGCAGCCATATGGAATATGGTCTTAATGTCCAAGCAACATACTAAATTGTTTTCTTCAGGATCAGTTCAGCAACTTAAAATACGAAGTACTCCGGGTATAAACTGGGGTAATTACAGCAGAGTTCAACTGTGGAAGCAAATGAGTCAAAACAGCGAAGCATCAGTTAATTTTTCATGACAAATGCTGAAGAAGATTTCACTCTGCTTAGGAATCTAAGAAAATCAATGATAATATTTTGAGAGTTGTGTTATCAGCTATGACATTCATTTTTCAGCACATTTATACATTGCTTTCCTGAATCATCCTCAGAAAACCTGTCATTTGCATCTTGGGTCAGCGTTGTTAAGTGTGCTGCTCCGTGTTTTCAGTTGCCTTTTATTGCAGAATTTACTACCATATATATGTGTACTATTTTAAAGTACAAGTAAACAATATAATCAAACCTGACATTTATATGCCAGCTACTTCATGCAGGAACTGATTTCCGACCGTATTCAGAATGGCAGTGGTCCATTAAAAGACTTTTTCCAGACGAATTTAAGAACGTTTTGACAAAAGAAGGCTTTTTTAGAGGGAGTGCAGTTACTTGTTTTGCACTCAAAGGAAAATCCCTGCAGCAATTGAGATGCTATATCTTGCAAAGTCCTCTGAAGAGCCAGATGACCATTGTGGAATAATTTGCCTAAGTTCACCGAGACATTTTTGTCTTGGGAAGCAACATGTAGCATGAGCCTTATTTACATTTGGGGTAGAGAAGCAGCAGAAGGGATGTTCCTCACCTGTGTTGTCCCTTGTGAGGGGTGCAGATGTTACAGAATCCTAGTGGTCAAGCCATCTTTGAGGCGTGGTGACTCTCAGTAGGAACACAAAGTTCACATAAAAATCAGAATTAATTAAAATGTTGCCCGTTTATATCAGCTCAAACTAAGGTCATGAATTCTCTGTTACAAGTGATGCTTTGAAGAATTTGCCTCTTATAAAGCATAAACTGGATATTCAGTTGTTTTTCTAAATGTTGATGGTGATATAACTGTTAAATTTGATTATGGAATGAGGTATGCCAAATCCTAGTGAAATAACTGATTCTTTGCACTGACCCCCACAAAATTCAGAGGGAGACTAAAGCGATCATGTCCGTATTTTAATACCTGTTATTCTAAAATAATGTTTGTCATCCCAAGTCTTACAAATAAGTTGTTAATCTATCAACTGTATATAAGAGAAAAAGTTTATTTTCCTGTATTTTTCATGTGTTCTTGAATTACCATTAGAAAAAACATTAACTCTTTACTTTAGATATGAAATTGAATCAACTTGACTTTGTCAACAGGAAGAAGGTGGAGAGCGATTACGAGGCTCTTCAGGAACGACTCCGTACATTGCCCGATAAACTGTCCTACGATATCATGGTATGTGCTGTAGGGTTCACACAAGAAAATGGGCTAAAATTTTTAGTAACTCAGGTATCTGCACTGGAGATGAGGTGCTCAGGATTCCGGCTGCCACATAGGACTTTGTAATGTTACATATATTATGATAATAATTGAACCTTTGCTTTTGTTTCTTTCTTTTTTCTTTGAAATTCATTATAAATTACAGTGTTACTGACAACTGAGAACTGATGACATAAATGCTAACACCAAACCTGACATGTTTGATATGTAAATCTATTGTATAGAAAGCTATAATTATAACTGAATTATGGTAGTTAGTCATTTCCTGAGAAGAAAGTGGCCGTAATATTTCCTGATTCAAGGAAATAAACCCTAGAACATTGATTTTTACACAAAAAGCTGCTGCTAGTTTTTGTTTCACCAATCTTCACATTGCCGTAGCGATCTTTGCTGCTGCTTTGAATCTTCCCTAACACCTGTACAGCTCCCTGTGTAAACTTCATCTTGTTCACCAGAGTTTTGACCAGATTGGCTTTTCTGTCTTTCTTTTTTCCTTCTCCCGTCTTGAGCCAAATTCAAGATACTTCTTTGAGGGAAGGGAGTTTGTACTGAGAATAGCTCAATGGCTAATTTCAGTACAAAGTGCCTCACTGCTTGCTCCCTTGCCAGCCTGGCTCAGCATATAGAGTTGAGTTGTTAGTAAGACGGTATTGGAGTACACTTACCATGTGGGAAAAGAGAGTATTCCTCTTTCTTGTGCTAATGATTCAGCTCTGGATTTTATGTGTTTATGTCTGGCCACATGATGCGAAGTGGTAAGATTGTTTTGTTTCGAAGCATAGAAAAAACCCTATTTTTAAAAAAGCTAGATAGGGCTTAGTCTTAGTTAAAGCAGCAATGTCAACTCACATCTGTTATTTTAAATTTATATAAATAGTTCCTATCCTGTTAGCCAAATATTTTCATATGTTTTCAATTTTGCTTTCATCATTTTGGGGGAAGAGTGAGCATGCAAATGGTGCAGTCTGCTACTAGAAAACTGAGTCAAGAGGGGTACATGTGTAGGAGAAGGACATTCTGTGGAGTCTTAACATCAGGATTCTACCTTCTGGAAAACTGTTCAAGCATTGGTACCCTCCTGGATACTGATGAGAACACAAGTGGCTATGCTGAGGAGGTCAAGCAAACAGGAGAGGAATGAAGTAGAAGGAACTGATACGAGCTGACTGAGACGGATCTAATTTTACCTTAAGAAAGACAAAACCTGACATGGATGTGGTTCTTAGCTTTTTGCCACCTTAATTTTAATTCAATTTGATTTTGTTCTCCTAATTTCTTTGCAACTGAAGCCCAAGGGCAGGCAGGCAGGTGGCAGTAGGTGTGAGGGTATGAAAGTAGGGTCTGGTGCAGGACACAGGACTTGGGCTTGACCAAGATTCCTCCTCAGCATTTGGACTTGCCCAAGCATCATCTCTAAAGTGTGGGCTCTGGAAGGTTTCTTAATTCGTAAAAACAATGTCCCATACATTGTAATATGTCTTAAAATGAGGTATTGAGAAATACCTCTTCTATTTATTGCCAGCATACTCCTGTCTGAAGTAATCTGGTTTCATATGTTGTTCCTGTGCCTGGAGAATCATTAGAGAATGGGTCTTGCTTGGTGGAGCATCCCTTGAAGGTCTGCACCTGGTGAATGATACAACAAAGTGAGATGAAGCACAGCCTGTGATCCTGCTAGCAGCCCCACAAACTTACCCTGAGGTTTATAGCTACTTACTGTTAGCAAGGCAGATGTTGAGACAAGCAACTTGTCTTTGGCTTGACCATGCCTACATAAGTATTTTAAAAAATTTAGTAAAGCTAAACTTAGTTTTATTAGGAAATTAATGTAGTCTGTGTATGACAAATAGGTAACTCACCTAAGTGATAATATTTTTATTATCAAGGCTTACATGTTAGAATTAAGTGAATTTGTTTTCCACGTGAGCATTCAGCTATACTATAGTTTTACATCACAAAACAACTTGTCAAGTTAAATACCACTTCTCTGATTTTGTAAGTAGATTGCTAAATTCAAATTGATCTGGTCATCTAATATTTATGAAGGGTTAGTCATTAAATAACTGCTGTAGAATTTTGATTTCTTTAACTCTGTATTTTACTTTTTAAAAAAACCCTAAGATATGAACGACTGTGTAGGTCTTATTTTCATTAGTGATTTTCAGCAGTTTCTTCTGTGCCTTTGACAGGTACCTTTTGGTCCTCTTGCCTTCATGCCAGGAAAACTTGTCCACACCAATGAAGTTACTGTTCTGCTTGGGGACAACTGGTTTTCAAAATGCTCGGCAAAGCAGGCTGTTGCGCTGGTTGAGCACAGAAAAAAACGTAAGTATGTCTCTGAACATAATTTAGTAGTCAAAATTATGTGTCTTAATATATAAAATCAGTAGCATCTACACTGTGGGTATTTTTTGTGTGTGATCTCGCTAACAGAAGTCTCATTCAAATGAAGTATCAATTTAGCACCTTATTTTCCATTTTTACTTGGTGTTTTATTGGATATGTCTGTTTTTAAAAAAACATCTAGCCAGAGCTTTCTTTGAGATACATCAGCTTAAGTTACCAGAATTTGGATTTTGGTGTTAGGTGTTAGAATAGAACATCAGTTGAGACTTGTACATTTGTTTATTATACTCAAAAGTAAAAAAAAAAAGAAACAAAATGAAAAATCCCTCTTTCACTTGTCTTTAATGTGAGAAATGCTGTATTGTCTTCCAGAAAGTGAACATCACATTGTACTTTTGCTCTCAGTTACCTACTCCCTATATTTTATTCCCTTTCTGCTTTGTTTTGCTTTTCTTTTTGTTTTTTTTTTTTGTTTTAATCTTTGTCCATATGATTTTCCAGCTTTCTTCTCTCTATATACATACTCTACTCCTGCTTGTTGTTTTCATTCCTCCCTTGCTGCTTGGCTGCCTTTCTGCCTCTTGCCCTTGGTGTTTCTATCCATTAGTGTGGAGAGAACCACTGGATCTCCCCAGATCACGTACCGTTGGTGACCTCCAAATTCATCTTCCGTAGCAGCACATCACAGAGGCAGATAGGCAATTCCTGGTTTAGTTTCCAGCTCTTTTTAGTTGGTGGTGAGATCTTGGCTTTGAAGAGCTAGGACCACCAGCAAGAGGTGTGCATGGTGCACTTCAGAACCTCTTTATGTTACAAAGAACGAGAGCCTGAAATATTTGATGTAAATGTCAAGGAAGGAAAAGCACAATAAAATGGAAAATAAATTGGTACCTATTAGCCTTTGCTGTTTGCTTCAGATAAGCGTTTGAGTAAATTTTTTTCATGTTGGTTTTACCTGTAATCTGTCTCATTCCTGAATGAGTGCTCACTGCAGCCTTACCCTGTGTATGCTACAGCCACCACAACTATTTACACTGGATTTTTGTTTGAGTTCAGCTATCCATGTTGCTCCTTGCAGCAGAATACCTCAGATGTTTCCTGTCTGAATACTTTTTTTTTCAGATCTGTGCAACCAATATTTATGTAAGAAAAGTTGGATTTTTTAATAAAAATCTGTTTGCTGTGTTATTTTAAAATATACCTTTATGAAGAACATTGCCAAAAGTATGTAATTGGTATTTTACCCATTATCTTTCTTAATCTGGCTCTCCTGGCACAACTTTGCAATTTTCTTTCTTACTGAACTGAATCTACATTATTTATTGTGACTCTTGTGAGATCTCGGGTCCATATCTTTTTCCTTGATCATCTGATTTTCTTCAGTGTGGCAGAATATTTTTGTCACTGTTACGTTCAGTGAAATCATTTGACCTTTGCATAGTAGACATTTTAACAGTAAGTAGTCTGCTGGGAGACACACAATAAATGACAGATTCTTTCCTTTATGATCTTTTAAATTGCATTTAAAATACAAACTCTGAAATACTAATTTCTTTTAAGGCAAAGTAGTCATTGATGCTGGATATAAACCCTCCTCCATTCAGTTGATAGTTCACTTCAGCTGTGTGATGGCTGCCAGTGGGAGGCTCCAAAACACTGGTATTAACTAAAAACTTTTTATTTAAAGGACTATTTTCAGTTTTGGATGATAAAAACCATATTAGTGCATATGATTCTGAAAAAAAATAACTCTTTCAACCATTTCAATACTGTATGAGGGCAACTTAGAGGAGAATATTGGAGATTTTATTAGTTTATTCTAATTAAAAAGAAGTTATGTGCATAAAAGACCTGTAGGCTGTTGCTGTGTAATGTGAATTCGCCACTTGTGGCCCAAATGTGAAAGATCGATGTTTCACAAGTATTAATTTAAAGTCTCCTTTTTGTGTATTGCACTGTAGTTATTTTTGTAGGTTTGACTTCTGGTGCCAGGGGCGTGTTGTGAGCGTAGGGGCTTTGTAGTTTATGGGGTGATGGATATCGGATGGATATCATTACATTGATGCAACATGATTTGATTTTTAGTACGTAATCTTTTTGTTTTGGATATGAATTTTGTGAGTAGGTCACACACACTGGAAAAGAGGGTGTGCTTACTGTGGTGGATTATATTGCAAGCAGTCCCCAATGTCCTGTGTGCCGCTCGGGAGGCCCCAACACAGCAAAGCTTTTTTAAGCATGTGCTTAAGGCCAGTATGTACTTAAAGGCTTTGATATATAGGAATCGGGGTTTGAACAGAGCAAAGAAAGGCTCATGCTGGAATTGCTTCCAGAACAGAAAGCTGGTAACATTTGTTGATGGTTTATTTCTTCAGTGACCTACATTTTTTTTTATCCAATATTGCTCTATTTAATTTGGATGGGTGTTTTTTCATAACTAGCTGGTCAAATCTGTTCAAGTAACTGAAATTAACGTAATTAGTGTAGCACTAGTAATTCTCTGCTTTAGCAGAAATAAAGAGTTATAAGGAATAAATACACACATTTGTATTGCTTACCGTATCTTGTGTCCCACTCTCCTAAGTGGTGAGGAGTGGGAGAGCATCCGTTCAGGTTTAAGTTTTCTAGTGGTTTCCCTTAGGTGAGAGGTTCCTGTGACTCCTGTGACAGTGTTGTTTCTTGCTGATTCTGGGGAGTTTGCTTTACTGCCTTTGAGGGGTGTTGTGTGAGTCTGCCCTTTGAAGACCTCCAGTCACCTGTTTGCCTTTGAGGACACCACTGCCCGAGTGGTTAGTTTAATCAAGGTTCGTGGAAGATTTTCTTTACAGTATGGTTCCTTCTGTATATGGTATGTTGGATGCATACAAGAATGGACAACATGAATTTCACAGAATCACAGAGCAGTGTTGGTTGGAAAAGACCTTTTGAGATCATCGAGTCCAATCATCGACCTGGCCCTGCCAAGTCAGCCGCTAAACCGGGTCCCTAATTTGCATGCTTAAGCAGTAATAGTGTTGTCAGATACATCAGACAGTATCAATGAGTATAAAGCCTTGGAAGTTAGGGGTAGCAGTAGGAGTGTACTATATATAAAAGCTTTAAATATTACTTAGTCCTAATTAGGTCATCGTTTTTGTCTTAGTAGTTTTGTTAAATTTGCTTTTTAAAGGAGAACAAGTGAGAAGATGTTTACTTCTCTGGAACAGAGAAATTCCCAGCCACAGCAGATCAATTTCCTGGTTAAATTTTATTTAATTGAAAGGAATAATTGAAGGGTGACTGTACTGAATTTTAAAAGTAAATGCACTTTAACTGACATAGCTGTAGAAAGCCCTATTTTGGGGATACATTTTTGTTTGCTTAGCTTTTGATTTAGATGTTCAGTGTTGTGATTGGTTGAAATGTATTTGGTAAAATTTGGGACAGTCACTCATGTCAAATGTTACTTTTTCATAAAATATTGATCATGTCTTCTTGAATAATATTTGAGTTGCAGTAGATTTTTAATTTGCTGTGCATTTTTCTGACATCTTGGATATTCAGTTAGTTCCCAAACTGTTAAAAAAATAAACCTAGTAAAGTTTATGGAATTGCCAAGTATGTTTTTAATTGTTTTAAATTTGTTGGAGTTTGTTAAGCCAGGTAGCACAGATAATGGGAAACACTTTACATATATGTTTGTGCATGGAAATGTGAAGAAATAGTGAAGTAGATAAAAGGATATGCACACCAAATTCCGTTATAATAAAAGAAATTAGCTTTTTAAGTATGTCACAGTTTAGCACAACAATAATGCAATTGTAGTTTTTTCTCTTACAATTATCTTGCTTAAGGTACTTCATAATATTTCTGTTCTGCTCAAGGCAAGACTGTATTGTCTCAGAATTCAAAGAGGGAATAAAGATTCTTTTTGTGAATATGGGATTATATCTTTTACATGTTTGTGATGATATAAATTACATTTTTTCTCTATATCAGTAATCTCATTAATTCTTTAAGATGGGAAATTTTTCATTACAATAGTCCCTGTGGTAGTTACTATAGAAGGAAATTAAATAGATTTTTCTTGTAAATATTTGTGGATTAATTCACTATGCTAGGTATTCCAAGTGTCTAAACACTTTAAAAGGTGGGAAATTAAAACATGCACACAGAACTAGGAGTGGTTTTATTGTGTTAAAAATTTATCAGATAAAAAAAATCCCACTTAAAGGAGAATTGTTGAACTACTTGGCAATTGCGTCTTCAGTATATGTAAGAATACCCTTGCAGTGTCATGCCGCAAATGAATTCATGAAATGAAAATACTGATTACATTAACATACAGTATTGTGATAGTACCCAATTGTAAATTGCAGTATGTAACCTTTAATACAAATATTTGCGTCAATCAAAGTTGACCGATAGCTTAGTATACAGGGTTTAAAAGATACCATTGTTTTTATAAATAAGATGATCCAGGCGGATGAGGACCAGTTTGAATTTGTTCCTTATCAGCATTTCCAGAAAAAAGGATATTGTCTCCAAAATATATGATAGGAAGGCTTTCCATTTCCCATCTGTGAATGAGGGAGGCCTTTAGAGGTTTTAATGTTTCATCCAAGGGTGAAAATAACTTCCTTTATATTCTCAAGAACATAATACAAACTTACATACTCACTTTTTGGGGGGGAAAACCAGGCAGAAAAGAAATCTAGCTATTGTTTTTATCTTTTAATAGAAATACATTTTTTCTGCTTTTTTTCCTGAATGCTGGAGAATTTTGTTTCACTGTGCTTTTGACCATTTTTTAACCATTTTTTGCGATTATCACTTTTTAGTTTGATAACCTCCATCAGTTCCTTCCTTACCCTTGTTAACTTGGGAGCTGATTCGGAGGAGTGCTAAGTGCTCTAAATTTGCTTTGCAGTTCCCAGGAGGTGTTTGGTTTCTCGCAGGACCACAGTCTAGGTATTTTAACCAGAACACAGTGAAAGAAA